ATATAAAAATATAGATGAAAAAAATATATCATTTGTTTCTTAAAATTCTACAGTAGAGCCCCATTACTGCCAGACAGTTTTTAAAGGAAAACAATAAAACCCATGCAAAGAACTGAAATTCCTCTGGAAGTAGTGTTTCTTGTTGATGTATTAAATAGCTTCTAAGCTGTTACAGTTGCTTGCAAAGTGCTGAATGATGCTCTGTGTGCAGTTCTCTGTTATATAAAATATTCTAGAGCCTGGGATGTGAATATCCTCCGTAGTAGGTTCTGAATCTAAAGTATTTTTTATTAGATTGCTGTTTAATTGATATGCTTTTTGGAACAGAATTTTTGAGTGGACTTCCTACTCCCACTCTGCAAATATGAGAAATAAATTGGTAAAAGGACTTAGCCTTGACTAAAGACCTGTTGCTGTAAGCTTTGCTAAGGTAACTAGATGGCTGGATGCTGAGCAATGTCAGACTAACCTTCAGGAAGATTCCATCTGGGTTAGTGTTAAAGCTTTTTGGTCATCTTAGAAATGTGCTTAGAATTTTTAAGCAAGAATCAAAAAATAAATGTTGCTTTACTAGAAGTTTTTTTAGCACTTGCGACCAGATCTTACCTAAAAGTAAGTTCTGGCTTTGGCTGGGCTGGAATTGCAATGAACAACATCATACTTCATATCTGATGAAAGAACCCTAGTTCATAACTTAGACACCCTACCTAATGCAAGTTGGCCTTCTATGCCTGCTCTTAGGCTTTTTCCTACACTGTCACAAGGATTAGTGGTGGTGTAAGACTTGATTGTTAAATCTACATTTACATCTTTGTATTAATTTGGGTTTTATGTGAAAGATGCTGAGACTGATGTAACACAGACAGCTGGTGGCTTCACCTATGTAGGATTTGCCTGTTAAATTAGTCAGTTTTACCAGGAATGTGCTGTTTCGAAGAGCTGCCGCCTGATTCTGCTTCATTGTCATCCTATCAATCAAGTCAGTTATTTTTGCAGCTCCTGATCCCCTTAATGCAGTTACAGCTTTTCTGAAGGGGCTTACAGGCATTAAGTAAGTCAGTACAAGACAGGAAGCATATCGTGACTCTATTTCTTAGATTGTGCCATGTGCCAAAAGAGAATCTAGGTGACTTTTAATGTAGAACATTGATTTGAGTACTTATCAAGAAATACAAAAATAAGTGCTGCCAATCTTACTAGGGAATGTTATTTTTTAAACTCCTGTTTACAGGTTCAAAAGTCATGTGTTTTGTGATGCACAGCATGGATTTGATCTTCCAAAGTCACTGGCTATGAGCAGTGTAGCTGTTCGCATATTGCATACTCATTATGATCATGTGTCTCCACTTTGGCTGCAGTGTCAGAGTGTGCCAAAATTGGAAGTCTTAGATAGCAAAGAGTTAACTCAGGATTCAAAAGACAATGTAGAAGAACCAGGAGAAGAAGGAAACAAAGCCAATGAAGAGCCCAGCATGCCTGCTAAAGAGGAGCCCAGCATGCCTGCTAAAGAAGAGCCCAGCATGCCTGCTGAAGAAACATGGGATAGAGGAAAGGTAGGTAAAAAAACCTCACCAAAGGATGCTCTACATTACTGCTGTAACGCAAGGCCCAGTCGCAGTGTAATAGCTTCTTAATGTGTCCTGTGCCTGAGAGTGACAAGTTCTTAAATATTTTGTACTGTGTCATAAATCTTCTCAAGGGAATGCAGAGATGGATGACCAAAGATTGTTGTACAGAAGGTAACGGGGGAGGTTTGGACAGGGTGGGGTAGTTGCTGTGCAGTTGGCATGCATGTGTTGGCATTTGGTTGGTAGTTTAAGAGTAGGATCAAGCCATGAGGAGTATCTGGTGCTGTTGTAAGATACTTCCGTGTATCTGTGACATATGTCCAGATGCATGGATTCTGCTTCTGAGAAACTGACAATCCCATAAAGCCACTGCAGGAATCCAATATTGGGAAAATTCACAGCATGCAGAATAGGATTCAGAATTCAGCAGGTCTTGGTTCTACAGTTACTTGGCTGCTCCTTGTCTGTATGCTGAAGCTTTGCCTTTAAGGGCTTCCCAAACACTGTTTCTGGCTGCAGGTTCTGTTTCTCAGCACTCTTCAATGAAGTATGTTGGCTTCAGGTGTTGTGAAAGTTGCTTTGTTTTGTATTTTTCTCACTTGGTTGGGTTTTTAAATTCTGATGTAATCTGTGACCTGCAAATAAGTGACTCAGGTTCTCTATCTAAAATTTCTGCACAAATAACTGTAAGACATCATGGTTTATGCCTTCGTAATGTGTTTGGAGCCATAATCTTTGCATTTTAACTTTTCAGTCCCCAGCACCTTTGTAGTGAATCAGTGCTTGAACTCCCATTTTTCTTGGTTCCTTTTTTTTCTTTTTTGTATGACAAATCTTTTCTTTTGGAAGTTTTCACCTATGTTTTTCAGACTTCCTTCAAGCTCCTCATTTCATTCTCTCTCTTTTTTACCCAGGTCTTACTCTCTTTCTCTCAATCCCATTTTGTGAATTTTCATGTTCCCTCTGAAGGCCTCACTTTTGCCGGCTGCCGCAGCCTGTCCTCCTGTCTGGCTCTGCCTTGACTTCTCCCACATTTATGTGCCTAAATGCTTCTTTCCCCTAACCTTCTGTCCTCTTTCAGATGTGTGTTCTTCACATACACTGGCAAGCACAGCACAGGGCACAGGAGGTGCCTGTGCCTCCAAATTGATAGCTGGTGCTCTGAACTGCTGTTTGTCTACTGTTGTGCTTCCAGGGGAGTCTGCTGTGACAGGGATTTTATATCTGGTTGGAATTTGGCTGGACATCTAGGGTAATGTTTTGAGAATAGAAAGCAGTGTGAGAAAGGGAATAAATATTACGGGCAAGGCACAGGCTGGAAATGCAAGACGGGGATTTTGGCAGAGTTTCAGCATGGCTTTGGACTCAACATTGGCTTAAGTTTTTTTTTGTGTCACTCTTCTAGCTGTGAAGTTGACATAAACAGAATTTTGAGTGCACATGCTGCTGAAAAGGTTAAGTGCTTGCGTGATACTTCAGGAGCTTGAGATGGAATTTGGTGTGGAAATGAAGTAATTATGTTTATTTATATATCCAGTTCCAGTGTTGGAGAGTACCTTCAATCAAAACTATTTTTGCTCAATGGGTAGAAATGATTTCTCCTAAAAGCCTTGACCCAGTAGCAAGATTGTTGCTGGAGGAGAGAAACTGTGCTCTTTCTCCTTGGGCCTCCTTGAAGGAGGTGGTACCTCTTCTTTACTGAGTATAGTCATATATATGTCTCTGACTAATTAAAAAATGTCTTTTGCTTTTTATATAGAGTGTTGTCTCGTTCCAAGAAAACATCAGTAACATAGCTGATGTAAATGAGACAGGGGAGGAAACAGAGAAGAAATCAGAAATCTTGGACATATCATCACTGTCACTAGGTATTTGGTTAGTTTTTATGTGAAGCATTGCAAAAGTACTTATTCTAAGTATTTTATTTTATATATGGAAACATTGTGATAAAGATTTTCATATCTGAAAATCTTATCTGAAGATTTTGTTTCATGTTTGATCATGTTTGAAAAATAATGTTTAAAATATATTGATGTAGATCACTATACAATATTATGATGTATATCAATACAATGTAATGATATACAAAACAATATGATTTATATAATATATAGAATGAAATATCATATAATATATAACATATAATATACAAAAATATGTATATCAATATACAATATATCAACTGTATATTGAGGGTAGATTTAGATTATATATTAGGAAAAAATTCTTCACTGTGAGGGTGGTGAGACACTGGAACAGGTTGCACAGAGAAGCTGTGGGTGCCTCGGATATCCCTGGCAACGTTCAAGGCCAGGCTGGATGAGGCTTGGAGGGAGGGCGCTTTGCTGGTTCTTCCTGCCAGACCCCCAGGAGTCCAACGTGTACATCCCTTCCAACCAAAACCATTCTGTGATTCTATGTTTCTGTGTTTTGATAATATTTGAGCTTTGTTGACATTTCTATTAATGATTGTTAAATGTAGGAAGAAAATAGGACAGGTAGGAAAATGGATTTTGTCCCCACACTTACTTTATTTATTAATGTTCATGTACATGTTTATTATGTTTATGTACAGTTGTGTATTGTTGTGCATATGTTTATGTATGCTTATGGGTGAGACACACAATTTTTATGAATCTGCCAGGCTGCCTGGCAAGACTGACTTCCACAGGAAAGAAATGATGCAATTGCATACAACAGTAGGCACTCGGGTCGTGTTATTTTTTTCTGAGCACTACTGACATGCGGGCTTAAAGTGACATACTTGCTGATACACTTACTTTGCTTAAAAGAGGGCATAATTCTAGGAACTAAAACTCTTTATCTATCTGTCCACATAACAAGTTACGAATGTCTTCAGTGTTGTGGTGTCCTTTGGTTTAGAATGAGTGAGTTTTCTTGTAGTACTGTCTTAAATAAAATAACTGCAAACTCTTCAGCATAGTTTAGCTGACCCGTACAACCTTTTCCTTGTAAAAAAACCCAAACCCCACTGCATACTTTCTGCGGAGAGCAGTCCAAGCAACTGGATATCAGACTAGACCCTAAAGACCGCCCAAACAGCGTGGTTTTCAAGGGAATAAAAAGAACTTGGGCTTTATTTGGAATAAATTGTTATTTTATTTCAGTAAGGCTTAGGAAATCCTTACCATAGTATTAGGTGAAATTATGTGCACGGAATTGTACTAATTGTACCTGAATGTCTTCTAGCTTGTTAATCTGCTTTAAAAAGAAGAGAAGGCTTATGAAACTATGCTTTTGTCGGCATGCTAATGATATTCAAATCCATTAAACCAATTTTCAGAAGAAAGTTTGAAAAGATACACAGTTACCACAAATTCAGTGAAAACAGGCAACCAGGTAGATGAGAGAGAAAAAAGAAGTAGGAATGCAACAACAGGGAAAAGAGCAAGAACTGCTGCAGTTTTCTGGATTTAACTTTGTTGAACCAGTGTTAAGAAGTTGGTTTAGTTTGGGAGAAATGAATAGTTTTGTTTAGCAGACAATTATTTTTGTATTATTATTTTAAAAGGTGAGTTTAAATGCAAGCTACCACTGTGGCTGGCAGTAAAATGGGTTTTACTTCCTGTATATTTTTTTATTGGAAAAGGACATTATGTTATTGTGTGACTACAGTAGGATAAAACATCTGCATAATGCAACTACTTCTGACTTTATAAAATTACACCATTTTTGCTGTTTTTTTTTTAAATCTTGCAGGCAGCTTATATAGATATTTATAATTTTTTGAATTATCTCACTAAAAGCAAATTTCATAACACTGAATAGCTGTTTTTACAGTATTGAACACTTTTTCTTAATCTCTGTCAACAGTAATTTCTGTCCTCCCTCTGTAACATATGGTGCACCATTTGTTTTATGTGGGCTTTCTATAGTTTTTAAAGAAAATATTTCTATGCATGTTTGTCCATGGCATTGATGCCTTCTAATAACATTTTCCAATTAATTACAATGTAAATTCAAGTATATGTATAATATATAGAGAATTGTATGTATAAAAAAGATGAATTATCTTTTTATCTGAAGATTTTGTTTCGTGTTTGATCCCTCTTGCTCTTCATAAATAGAACGTTTCAGCTTCATCACATGACCTTATATCTTACATATGAGGTACTTACTTATATCTTTTTATTTGCCTTATTTCTTTTCATATCCATACAACCTTACTAAACCTGTCTAGAATCTGCTGTATACCTGTGAAATTCTTCTGTGATGATGTGACTCACTTTTTGTCAGTAAAACCTTATTTCTGTATGACAAATTTTGAATTGACTACAAGGGTAGAGCAGAGATTAATCATCTGTTAAAAAGCTCAGTACCAAAACAGAAAGTACTTTTCATTGTCCAGCTGTCTGTCTTTCCGACATTTCAGTTAATGGTTAAAAGGTTTGGGAAACACCAGTAGATGGTGCTAAAATGCTGCAGAGTGTGAAGCACATCCAGCACGTGGACGTTTTGTGCAAAGGGGAAAAATTGTACAAGTGGGAAATTTCAGTGTCTTAGTTTAAGCAGCAAGTTAATCCATGTTGTTTGGTTATTTTGTAGTTCAGGATCCGGTGATGCAGGAAGAGACAAGTGAAAAAGAAGAGGCAAAACCAGATGAAAACATTGTTGACTTGCAGCAGTTTGTACCAGTGGGTGGTGTGTACCATATCGATGCGCTCCAGGTTCCACATCAGGTCAAACAAATCAAGGACTGGAGTATGGTGGAGGTAAGTGAGGAAAGAGGACACCCTCTTGTCCCCTGCATAGGACACCCTATGCAGTCCTCTTCCCTACCATCCTTGAAGAGCTGTGCCTGAGCTGTGGCACCACTGTGCAAATGCAGTGTACATGGTTTCTTGAGCAGCAAACTGGAGGGCCAAGTGTTCGAATAATTTTTCAGTTACACTTAGCCAGTTTTTGGAGGGGAACATATTACACTTACAGAGGTGTGTGCTCAGTCAGTGGTCATCAGCATGGCTAGCACAGATTGCTATGCTGGAAAATTCTCTTGGCCAAAGTAAAGGCAAAGAGAAGGGGTCTTAATTTTTCCTTATGTGAAAGGTACACTGCCAGTTCAGTCCCAGGCTCTGCAAGCTATTTGAGGACTATAGCTATTATGTTCTAATTTTCCCACTTGTGAAGCCTAATGCAATGCTAACCTATATCACAGATTGTACTCTCAAGTATAAACCTTTAATAAGTGAAATTCCCATACAAACTAAGAAAGTGGGACTATGGGCAGATCAGTTCCCAGCTGCATACATAGATCTGCATTACCAGTCACATGTGACCTGTGTGGCCAAACTAAAATTACATCTGCTTTTGCCTCTCAAATGCTTTTGGGTTTTTGGTTTGTTTTCCTTTGTTTGTGTTTTGGTTTTTTTTGAGACTGTGGATCTGTTAAAGAATGACTATGTCTACTATGTGGTACTGCCTTAAAGGAGCCATCAACAGCACATGAAGGGTTTAAAGGCCTGCTGGTAGTCACCCTTTTACTATCTATCATCTTCAACACTGTAATTTGAAACATGCAATATTAGCAAACTGTTAATAGTAATGAATTTTAAATGGTGTGTTAGGAAACTGCAGGTGATTGAGTGGGCTTACATAAGCTACTGTATTTTCTTATAAGAATAATATATGTTCTTTTCCCACCTTGCCAAAGTTACGTAATGTCGGATTGGAGGCATACCCATATCCCTCAGAAGGGGCCGAAGATGCCATATATCCACCAATAGAGATAACCCTTAGGCTTTCTGACAATGTGATGTATTTTGCATCTCCTGTGATAGCCCGATGGGATCCTGCAGGTACAAATTTAGGACATAAATTTACTTTAAGTTTGAATAGTGGAATTTATACTTGAGTTTGACTATTTCCAGAAACCAGCTGTAAAGATGAAAGCCAATTCAGAGCCCAGAGATAATTTGGGACCTTCAAGGGTAATTTATTTGGTTCAATTATTTTGCTGTATGTATATGAATAGAAAAAATACACATCATTTAATGGGCAGCAGTACACATACCACAAATCAAGTTTTGCTAGGGTGAAGTCATGTAAAGTCCACTTTGAGCCAGCTTAGCTCCTAACTACATGTATTAGTATTAAGTTAAAATATGAAAATGAAATGTTAAAACCCAAGTGTGATATTCTAGTTAGTAGATAAATGAGATTAGAACCTATTTAAACACTTTGACGTTTGAAGTTACTTTGAAAATGATTTTGTGGACAGCTTTATAGCACGTAAGAAATGACAGTTACATCAGTATTTGTATTTCTTTTGAAATTAAGAAGAAGCTTTCCTGTCAAAATTAGCCTAATGTTGTACTTAAAGGCAATTACAATGTGTAGAGCTTTTTGCCTTAAATGAATTGTCTTTATATTATGCTTAACATTTTGTCTTAACGGTGGGTGAATGTTAGTTAACCAGGGATGTCTTCACTAATTCTTCCCAAGTACCTATCCCAAGCAAAAGCTTTAGATATACATCTTTGTATTTTTGCATGCCTTCTGTAAAGGCCAGCAGTGGAGAACTGATGACATCAGCAACATAACATATGAAAAAGAAGAAAAGAGTATCACTTTTAAGATGGGGACCTTTTATACAATAGCACTTCTTCAGGATGCTCATATCAACATGCCATATCAGGGATGGGAATTGCAACCTACTGGAACGGATGAAGCACTACTTATAGTTACTACAGTCTTTGCCGTGATTCAGATACAAATCAAGGTAAATAATTTTGCTTATAAAACACTTGCAATTTAAGAAGAAAAAGAATAAATTATTAGGGGTGCTTCCACAAGAGCAATTTGAATCCCACTGTGCCAGTGAGAAGGAAGGAAGATCTCTTTCCTTTCCAAGCACTGTAAGGAACAGTACTGGTGATTTAATTTCAGTTATTTATTGTGAACTGGTCAGAAGAAAGCAGCTGTATGATTGTTCCTGCAGAGTTGCAGTAAATGCTTTGATAGTGATAGTACCTTGATGAATTTAAGACAGTGTCACCAGCTCAAGGCTTGAAAATCATTCCTTTCTCCTTCCACCTACACCAAGAGAAATAAAAGCATTTCAGGCAACCTACTACTAATGCTACTTGTTTCTTCTAAAGGTGGCATTACACGTGATTATCCATATGCTCCTTACTGTGTAAGGCAGTTCAGTAACAGACATAAAAGAATCAGTATGAGCATAAGCATGGGCCAGTAGGCCAGTGTCATTTCTGAAATCCTACAGAAAATTGTTTCTACAGAATAGCAGAGATGATACTAATATTTGATGCCTGAAGCAGAAAATAGCTTTTATGAGTGGTAAGTTGAGCTTTCATGACCAGTAAGTTGCTTTTACTGGTTTGTACAACAGGGTAATCAATGTATGTTGTCTTCAGTAGTGGTGGAAGAGAAGGAGGTGCTTTCCCACATCACAGGAAAGTGGATAAGTCCACTTAACCTAAGAGAAGTTTTGAAAAAAGCTGGTGTGAATATTTTTCCAGGAGAGTGTTCTTACACATACCTCTCTCTGAACAAGAAGGTGAGTGCAAGAGTGGCTGGTTTTCCTGTTGTTTTTCCCCACTTGTTTTTCACTTACATAACGTTTTCTTGTATGAAGACCTGCTGTGCAGAGTTAGGTGAGAAGTACGCAACTCTTCTGGCAGGTTAGCCAGTGAACCGTGGTTAAATCATGCTTTTTCTTACATTTGCATAACAGGGAATTAGACTGCACAATATATAGATTTCCTAACTTGTACTTTTGTATTACAGGCACTCATAGCAGAAGCTAAGGCCTATCAACAGATGGCACTGCTTGCATCTGCTTTTGCTTTTGGCAGGAGCAAGTGGAATCTAGAGGCAGGCCAAGAGCAAGTAGTGTTCAAGGTTTGTGGATTTAGATCAAACTTCTAGAGAAAACCAGCATAAGAGTTATGTCACAGTTGAAGAGACAGAAACAGTTAACTTACATAAGTTGCCCTCATCTCAAACAGTGTCTTCAACCCCTGCCTAGGCTCTTAAGATTTGTGGTTTACTTACCAGCATTCGGTGTATGTGTGTCAGTAAAGCTTCAGAGCCTGCTTCTTAGCTCATGGATGTCAGATCTCTATCTATCTGGACACACATCTCAGTAACAGAGAACTTGCTGATGTGCTAGGGTGTAGAACTGATGGATCAGCTATTGAGGCTTTGGTCAAAGCTGGGATGGTAGAGCTAGATGCCAGGTTTCATGAAGTATCCTACTGTAGGGGTCCTCTTGTATAGCAAATCTGATCTGTAAGTTTTATGATTCATATATGAAAATTTCTTATCATATGGGATTTCATTTGTTCCCTAATGTAAAGGGGGGAAATAAGCATTGATATGTTTCCATCTGTGAACTAACATAGATGTGGTTAAAATTTCTCCCAGACAGACAGACAGACAGACAGAAATAGTCCCAGCTGTGGTTGTAGATACAGAACATACCATACTGTTGAAATCTTGAGCAGCTCTCCCCTTCTCCTGAGTTAAATGCATGTGAAATACAGATATTTAACTTAATACTTAATCCCAAGGCAAGAACTAAAACAAATGAGGCCTGTTGCACCTAGCTCCTTTCTCCACAGGAGTCAGGAGCAGCTGCTGGAGTGAGCAGACCTTATATTTTACAGAGGCACCTTGGTTTTGTTTCTGTATTACATTCATGAGTATACAAGAATTTTGATTTTCATCTAGAATTTATACTCTTTCAGTGTCATGGGCTTCATCTTGCAGCTCATTTTTTTCTGCAATAGGTAAGTGAGCATCTTAAAGCAGAATCTGTCAAAGACAAAGACTGGTCTCTTTATCTGTTTAATGGTCAGAAAGCACAAAAGCTCAAGATCACTGAAACCAGCGAAGCTTTCTCAGAAGAGATAGAGGAAGATTCTGAATTTCACTCCACAATCTACCATATGCTTAAGGACTTTTCCAGCAAAGAAGCAATAGAAAAAGTGGAAACAGCTAGCTTCCTGTTTATTGATGTTGTATATCAGCTACTCCTTGCTACAAGAGTTTTAACATACTCTTAAGTACTGCATGCTTCCCTTTAAAACTTTATTATCAAAAGCTTTCAATAAAGTTACATTTCAAGTCTCAAATCCTTTTCTATTCAAATCATTGGAACAGCTTCAATGACTAAAATACAAATGTTTTAATTTTGTTAAAGCAAAATAAGTTCTTTATTCTCTTGTGGCTAGACCACTTTGTCATATTTCTCGTTAGCTACATTCAAAATTACTTTTATTGTAAACCTGAATGGAATTTCTAAAGTCTAGGTACTTGTAAAGATGACACTTGTCAGAATAAGGAAAAAAAGTTTTTAAATTTCAAGTCATGCTTTTAAAAAAGAAAAAAAAAGAAAAAAGAAAAAAAAAAAAAAAAAAAAAGAGATCTCCCCCCAAAACACCCATAACCCAACAAAATAAACCCAACCATCTAACCTTAAATATACTATCTCAGCTTCTCGCATTCATCCAGAACTTGAAATTGTAACTACAAAAGTCGGAACCTTTGTTATACTGGGGGTGGTCCTTTGTGTTGGAGTCCTGTGTATGGCCACAGCAGTTGCTGTAGTGAAGTCCAGGAGTCCCTGGTGCCTACAGGTGCTGCATCTGCTGGTCTCTGAAGAGACAGCCCAGTGAGGAAGCTTGTGAGAGCAGCGAGCAGTACCAGGATGGAAACGGAAATCCAGAGAGTTTTGTTAGCGTTGGAAAAGGAAGCCTTGAAATGGGATACCCACGATGACATTAAATTGCACCTGCACAGAAGAGCAAGACATAGAGGGGTTCAGTTCTTCTTCAAAATTTGGAAGTGCTTTTCATACCCCACGCCCAGAAAACCCTAAAGCAAACCAGACCCTACAAACAAGCATACAGATCCTTTACTATCAAAAGTGACAAGGTGGTGGTTGTATCAAGAGCTGTGTACAGTGGTAGCTTGTATTCTGGGTTTAAAAATGCAGACTTCAGGTAAGCAAGTTCTTGATCAGCTATTTAGGACACTGACCCAACTTTTAAGTCTCTTTCAGAAGAGGATTCAGAAAAGCTGCCTTGCAAGCTCATCAAGAAATCTTGCTTGTAGCAAACACTGAAAGTGCTGACCTCATAGTTTTACTGTTTTCTGGGGGTTTGGTGCCTTCCTTGAGGCTAGGGAGAAGTCTTACCCTGACTGTCCAAATCCCAGACCTCTCATGACATTGGGTACCTCTGTCCTTCATCAAACAGTAGAAAGAAAATTTTATTTTTCTTGCTGTCTTCTTGGTTTTAGACACTAGCATAACTGTCTCCCCCTTGATCAGAAATGCTCACAGTGGAGGCTTAGTATTGTATAGTTGTATGGAATAAACAGTTTCTCTGCAGAGACAGCAGACTTGCTTTCCTGTCAGGCAGAGGCTTCCAAGGGGCACTTCTTCAGGAGAGCACTCTCTTCCTGGACTCGAGATACTCAGTGAAATTAACTGGAATAGTCTGGAGTCAGTCCTGGTAACTACTTATGTCTCAGTGTGTGCCAAAACTGCTGGGAAGTTTTGCACAAGCCTCAACTCCTTGATCATTTTTACAAGAGTACATGTCAGCATGACCTGGTAGCCTAGCTGTAACAGCTGGCACAGTCACCAAAAGAGGTGGGATCATAGCATGAAGCTTCTCTTTACCTCACCATTTAAGATTAGTAATGAATCCCTGGTGGGGAGAATCTCCAGCATCTGAGATTACTCATTCTCAGTTGGTTTAAGAAGTGGGCATTAATAACCAAACCTTCTTCCTTGTTTCTTCTTCCCACATCCACCACCCAAACACTGCTTTGCCTCACAATGATGTGAGAAAACTTACGCTGACTCTAGGTTCCATTTTGATGCATGTTTTCCGTTTTCAGAGACACTTTCCTTCCTGGATGGTTCTTGTGCTTCAGCAGGTGATTCCGAGTGCTCATTTCTGTAAGCAAGCACCAACAGTCCCAAAGCTTTTCAATCAAGCATTCAGTTTGACACAGCTCACAAGAATTTGACTTTATACCCTTGATCAGGCGGTGGACAGTCAAGAGTTCATTAAAAACAAACCAGCCAACCCTGCACAACACAGAGGAGGCTGCTGTTGGACTTACTTTGTTTCAGAATGTAAGTCTTCGTACTCAGCCCAGGAATACGTGCTAATGAACCGCTGTAGCGAAGGACGCTTCTCATTTTGCTTTGCTCCTAGTCGCCCCCTGTCGTATTTTAAAGAAATTTGCTTTAATTTCCGCATGATTAGAAATTGACAGAATCAGAATGGTTTGGTGTGGAAGGGACCTTAAAGATCATCTAGTTCCAACTCCCTGCTATGAGTAGGGACACCTTCCACTAGACCAGGTTTCTGAAAGCTCTGTCCAGCCTGGCACTGAACACTTGAAATTCAGTAGTAGTCTACTTATTTGGGTAGGCCTTAGACAAATTTCAAAATTAGATGCCTGATCTTAGGATTCTTAAAGCAAAAAGTGAACAAACCCACCCACAAAAACAAAAAAAATCCAAAATAACAAAAAAGCCCAAACCCAAACCCAAAATCCATCAATGCCAACTGCCTGGATTTCATATTATAGATCTAAAGCAAGAGAGTTAAGGTAATTTTTTTTTAAAGCTCTCAACCCTTAATAAAAAAGAAAAAAGAAAGAAAAACCACATAAAAAAGGGCTGTAGTGTTTAGTCCCAAAAGCTCATTTACCTACTGAAGCATGTAAAACTAATGCAAAGCTCTAACGTAAACATTATTATACCTCAAGATGCTCCATAAGCTGCTTAATACAGGCACAGTTAGAATATTTAACTCTATTTAAAGGCAAGCCCAAGTAACTTTACCAGCTGCTTGATCTCCTGTTGAATCTATCACTCCGTTCATCTCCATCGGATTCATGGAGTTGGGCCTGGAGAAGAAGTTGGACACTTACTGCACTGGGAATTTCATGCTTCAGCCCAGCCAGTTTTGAGAAGATCAAGCACCTCACCACCTGAGAACCCTTACTTACCAGCTGCAACCCAATACCTGCACTTCCAGCACTCCTAGGCAATGCTGCAATGCTAACTCTTCGTAGGGATGATGGCTATACAAATAAGAGGCATTACTGACTCTATCAAGGAATGACTGGATTACTCACTGATCACATAACATACCATATGTTTTTATACAAACTGTATTGAAAAAAAATAGATGTTGATACTTAGCTTCAAGTGACACACGTAGAAGAATCAAATCACATCACAAGCGCAGCCCAAAACGTATTCTTTAAAGGTGCATCTTTCCACATTAAATACTTTATTCCCCCTAAATATCTGAAGTGTGGCTGGCTACACAGCTTCCAGCAAAATACAACTGAATGTGTTCAAATTCCCCTATGAAGGAATTCCCAGGCAATTTGAATTGCTTCCATCTATTTTTCCATCTTTCTGTGCCAACCCCAATGAAAGAAAGACACATGAACAATATTTCTTAACCACTGCATGAGAGCACAGCTATATTGAAAATTTGAGACAGAAGCCCACCAAGTCAAGCATATAGCAGAGCACCAGCACGCAACAAAGCAAAGAAAAAACACAAACACACACACTTAAAAACAGTTGACATTTCATGTTAGGCTGTAAGAGCCATTACCTTAAAGTTAAAAGAATTTGGTAGCTTTTTATTCGTAGATTCATCTGTGAAGAGATCAAACACCAGAAAGGCTTACAGGAATGCAGCAAACTTTGTTTGCAACTAGGGGTCTGACTTTGCCACGTCTGTGTAAGCAGAGTATATCAGGGTACTCCCAGAAAGCAGAAATTAAATTTTAGGAGAAAGTTTTCTATTTCATTAGATAAGTTCATAATATTCATGTATTTTACATACGCTACAAACATTGATGTCTGTTGTATTAAATGTATTATCGAGGACAATCTTTTACAGTCAGTAAGGAACAGCCTGCAATTCAGAAGGCTTCCGCAAGTGTTTCAGTGGTGTGTAAGACTGCCCTTTCTGTTTTTAAAATACATGCCCTATTTTTCAGCAGAATTTAATTCTTCTCTGGCAAAGCTGCAAGTGCACATCTTAAAACCTGACCATTGTACCGCCTGCTTAGAAGGGGAAGTTCAGAGCACCTGCAGTTCAGGAGTCTGTAATTCATATTTAGAGAAGAGCAGGAAGCAACCGTGGAGAGCAGTCAAAGCTCAGCAACCTACAAATAGCTACTAGAAATGCTTCAGTGTGAGCGAGCACCCAAATTTACTGCTCTCAAGGAGTAAGATTATCACGACCACATGCAGTGTATTAAAAAGAGACAGAACATTAGTGCATATTTGCAATGTTTCCCCCACCCTGAGATTCATGACAGTTTACATACAAGTTTAATCTCAGAGGGGTGATTCTAGTGCTGTTAGTAAATTGCTAATTTTCCCCTCTAGTTTTAGGAATGGAGGTACAATAGTCATAACACCACCACCTCAGATGTTATGTTTCAACTTTAAGGGTCTATCTGGCAGGTGCCAGAAAGAGGAAAGATTAATCAGCTTTTCTTAGGTACCTCGATCTCCAAGAGAACTAAAGGATCTCTCATTCTGGAGCAGAACCTGTTTCAGCTCCTCAAGTTCTGCATGTTCTTTTGCATACATGCGCTTCAGATTTTCCACATGTTGAATCATTACTTCCACAGCCTTGCTGACACGGCTCTCCTAATCAAGCAAATGCAGTAGAAAAAAAGAAACAGCTCTTTGAGGAACTTCATCATGTTTAGATGTTATTACTTTCCCCCTCCTCCCCCCTTAACCATTTACTCTCATCTTGTATCACTGTGTTAAAGCACCCTCTCATCTTTGTCCACCCTTTCAAAGTGTCACTACAACCCATCTCTCAACACATGCCCAAGTTACACAGGTCTCATTTCTCCAGTGATTACTCTTATCCTAAAATAAATTAGTCTTCATTTTCTGAGCCTCTACAACTCCTCCTCATCTCTTTCTCTGATCTACAGTTTCAGCTGCCACCACGCATTTGCTGGTATTGCCAAGTCATATTTTCATGCTGTTATT